GAGGGGCCAGGGGAGGGGCCTGCTCGGGCCCGGGGCGGCTGCCGAGCGCCTTCCCTCCCCGGGCCCGCAAGCTCCGCCGGCTCCGGGAAGCCGCCCCGCCTGCCCCGGCTCCCGTCTGGGCGGCTATGTGCTGCTTAAAAACCGTCGGGGCGAGGGGCTCGACTTGTGTCCGCCTGAGGTCTTCTGCCACCCCCGAGCCGGAGCAGGGCCGCGGGGGGCGGAGGATCCCTCGGAAGTGAGCGGGGCCTGTGGCCCGGGGGGGCCCGGCTCCGGGGGGCCCGCCCGCCGAGGCAGGAGGCTGCCCGGCCGCTGGAAGTCTTCTCCCGCCAGGGGCAGGGCCGCCAGGCCCCTCCACCGCGCGCAGCGGGACTGGCAGGTCCCCGCTGCAGGAGCCAGGACCGGGCCCTTCAGGCTCTCGCTCAGCCCTGAGGCCCGGCTCCCCGGTGTCCATCCCAGGTGCCTTCTCCGGGCTGGAGCATCGCAGGTCTGATGGGGCAGGAACTGTACCGGAGGCAAGGATGTTTCGGGTGATATCTTTTATCTGTCTAGCGGGCCCGGCTTTCAGTGCCTGCAGCTTTGCCTCCGATCCGTCCCGGCTAGAGAGCTGGTCCAAGAAAAGATGTCACCAAAAAAACCTTGCTTCTCCAGGGGGCCCATTGAGCGAAATAGGAACCATCTGGTAGGAAATTCCACAGAGAAAACCGTGTTTAACCTTGTCAATGGAAAGTTCCTGGTGCCTGCAGGAGGGACTGAGGGCTTGCAAGGGCCTCTCGCCTCCGCATCACAGTCCAGCGTGGAAGTGGCTTCCCAGGGACCCGTCACCAGCTTTACCTCCAGCACACCCTGGACACAACAGTGTCTGGAAACAGATCCTCTGTGCGTCTTCCGCCCCTGCGCTATGTGCAGGGTCCCCGGGTCCTTGCTCGGGGAGGGGGAGCTTGCTGCTCACGGAATCATAGACAACGCAGGTTGGGAGAGACCACAGGAGGTCTTCCACCAGTGCTGCTCAGCCCGTGGGTCGTGACCCAAAAATTGGTCGCAAAAGTATACGAAAGGGTCATGAACAAGCTTTAAAAATGGATCAACGAACTTTTAAAATGAGAAAAATGTGGGAAACGGTGGCTTTTCCCTTGCCCACTGTCAGAGTGCCAGGGGCTGTTTGGGCCCCTCCATGCGACCCACACACGCAGCCTTTGCCCCACACACCCCCCCCCTGCCACACAAAAGGGGGGGGGGCTGGGGCCTGGGGCAGCAGGTTGGGAGTGAGGGGCACTGGGTGGGGACTGGCCACTGGGCACTGGATGGGGACTGGCCATCGATGTTTACAAATGGGTCCTGGTACAAAACAGGCTGAGAAGCACTGAGTCCAACCCTCTGCTCCAAGCAGTACCATCCCCAGTAATTATGTGCTCAGGGACACAGTTAATTTGCATGTGACCCCTTGTAAAGCGGGTGTCAGGTCCTGCACTCTTCCTTCACTCCGGACTCCCCTGAGCCCCGGTCCTCTCGGCCTGAGCATTTTGCTGAATTGTTGCCCCTTCTGCCAGTGATTTACAATGCCTCCT